TGGCGGTCGTGGTGCTTGAACTCTGGGCTTGGGTGCTGTCCCTGCTCTCTTCAGCTCAAGGCAAGCGCTCTACCACTTGAGCCACAGCTCCACTTCCGATTTTCTAGTGGTTTATTGGAGATAAGAGTCTCACGGACTTTCCTGCCTGGGCTGGCTTAGAACCATGATCCTCAGATCTCAGCCTCCTGAGTAGCTAGGATTACAGGCATGAGCCACCGGCAGGCACCCTGCTGTGGGGTAGATTTGAGCAGTTTAAGTTGCCAGTAACAAGAATAGTGAACAGAATTATAAAAGGAAGAGATGAGGAGTATAGCCTGCTCCAGAAAGATTGAGTTGAGGGAAAGAAAAAGGCTTTCTTAAAGTAGAGATGGAGATGGTAGGATATTTTAAGGATGGAAATGACTAGATTGTTTGTGTGCTTAGAATTCAATAGGAGAAATTGAAGATGAGAGTAAAGAGATAATTGGCACATCAGAATTATAGAAGATGGGCAAGAGAAAGATTATATATTCCTAATTGTAATGCCAGTCTTTATTGATGGAACCCTTAGCTTTTTTAAGATTTTGCTATTATAAACAATGCTGTAATGAACAACCAACCAAGGCCTAGAAAACAAGATAAAAATTACATGGATGGCATATATATAATAGATGTGTGTATGCATGTATATATGTATTATATATGTGTGTACATACATATATGTATATATACACACATGTTATACATACTCCAGAAAAGTATTATTTCCTTTAAAGAGTATGCTGGGATGTTGATTGTTAGTATAATGTGACTTTTAGAGTGAGAACAACAATTTTAACTAAAAGGTAATTGGATTGTATCTACTTGTGAAAATTTTAAAGTTCTCTTAAAACCATGTGACTTGAAATACTTGAGCAGAACTGCTGTGAGTAGCTCTTGTTAACAGAGTTTGGTATGGGAAAGCAATGGTCAGTGTGTCTGCATTCTTCAGGGGATGTGCTTAGCATACAGAACAGGAGACTCTGAACAGAGCCAGCATTATTGTTGAAAAGAATTTTCCATCCTCCTCCATGTGTGCTTAAGTTCTGAAATGGTTTCTGTTTTTTTGTTTTTGTTTTTTTACTTTTTCAAGCTTGAATCTCTATACTAACTCAACTGTTTCCTGCTACTGTTTTATTAAAGTTCTATTATGAAGTATATGTGTAATTTTTAAAATTTCAAATAATGGTTTAAAAAACTTCTAAAATAATTTTAGACTTTAGGATAGTTGTAAAAATAGCATAGTTCCCATAAACCTTTTTCCAGCTTCTCTGAATGCTAACATAAAATTATTTTCAAAAATAAAAAAATGGGGGCTGGGAAGGTGGCTCAGTGGTAGAGCGCTCACCTTGCATGCTTGAGGCCCTGAGTTTGATTCCTCAGCACTACATAACCAGGAAAAAAAAAAAGCCAAAAAAAAATAAGAAAATGGTAGTTAATAATGCTATTAGCTAAACTACAGACTTAACATTTGAGTTTCCCCATTTTTTCTGTTAATATCCAGATTTAGTACTATATAACAGCTCAGATTAGTGTTTAGTCATTATATCTCTTTAGTCTCTTGCTGTGTGTCATGTCTCTTTTTCCTCATCTTCAATGATCTTTAAATGTACAATACTAGTTATTTTGTCAAATGTCTCTCCGTTTGGGGTTCTCATGATTTTTCATGATGTACAATTTTTTTGTTAAGAATACGACTGACGCATTATTATTATTTCTTTTTCAAAATAAAGAGAGCATAATATGTGGTTTAATATGTAGTATAGCTGGCTTTAAAGTTACTATAGAGTCCTGGCTGGTATTAAACTTGCCCCCTTTTTCCTCAGCCTCTGAGTATAGGGATTACAAACATTTACTACATGCCTAGTGTATTATGCCTTCTTTAATGTGTCATATCAGGAGATAAAATACTATACTATCACTATATCATAGTGGTATTTATTTTGGTTTCTTTGTTCACCTGATATATGTTATATGCCACTGTAATATGACAGTTCATTTCCCCCTCACCCATGGTACTGGGGGTATAACCTGGGGCTTTACATATCTAGGCAGGGGGTCTTCCACATAGCTACATCCCTGGTCTACCACTCCTTTTTTTTGGGTGGGGGGTTCAGCCGTGGGGCCTGAAATCTGGGCCTGGGCGCTGTCCCTAAGCTCTTCAGCTCAAGGCTAGCGCTCTACCATTTGAGCCACAGCGCCACTTCCGTCTTTTTGCTTATGTGGTGCTGAGGAATCGAACCCAGGGCCTCAGGCATGCAAGGCAAGCGCTCTACCACTGAGCCACCTTCCCAGCCCTCTACCACTCCTTTTTGAGACAGTGTCTCACTATGTAGCCCAAACTGGCTTTTCCAAGTACTTTGATTACAGGTGTATGTCTCCATGTCCAGTTTATTTTTCCTTTTATATTAAAAAAAAAAAGCCTTGGTGAATGTGCTTTGAGACTATAAACACCTTGCTTTTTTTAAATTTTCAGCCACTGGTAAAAGCATCCATTTAGTGGACTTTGACCACAACAGTTATAAGTAAATATTGCTAATGATTATTTTCTGTATTCTCTAGGCTTCTATATTTATTAGTTGGAATTAAAAAATAGCTATCCTCTTTCTGCCCTCCCATTCTTCCAATTTGGACTCACTGCATATGTAGACTATCTAGTGCTATTATTTCTTTAGTTTCTCAAATTATTCCACCTATGGACATTACAAGCTCTTTTATTGTACTCTTTGGATGTACCTCATCCTCCCCCCCCCCCAGTTGTGGGGCCTGAACTCTGGCCTGGGCGCTGCCCCTCAACTCTTTAGCTCAAGGCTAGCACTCTACCACTTGAACCATAGCATCACTTCTGGCCTTTTCTGCTTGTGTAGTGCTGAGGAATCGAACCCAGGACTTCATGCATGCAAGGCAAGCACTCTACCACTGAGCCACCTTCCCAGCCCCCACCTCATCCTTTTTTTAAAAAAAAAAACAAACTATTATTTTTGTTTATGTGGCTCCGAGGAATTGAACCCCAAGCTTCATGCATGCTAGATAATCATTCTACCACTAAGCCACCCTCCCAGCCCTCACCTCATCCTTTTTAAAGTACTTCTTTCCTTCCTGACACCATAAGGTGCTTCAGCCCTGAAAAATCAACTTCCTCTCCAAGGATCACTGGTTCCTTTTATTGAAGAGTAGCAATTGGAACCTAGGTCTAGGACATAGATTGTGCTTTTTTTTTCTTAGAAAGTGGGTGCTTCTAGAGGCTCTCTTTGCCTTGATGCTAACATTGAAGTCTCATGTAGTACCTCCTTGTAGATCTTGGTATAGTACTTATCAGAGGGTAAAATAAAAGAATTTGACAAAGCAAGCAGCTATATTTTAGCCTTTCAAAAATATTTTGATGAGAAGCCTTGTGCTAGTGGCTCACGCCTGTAATCCTAACTACTCAAAAGGCTAAGATCTGAGGATCAAGGTTCAAAGCCAGCTCAGGCAGGAAAATCTGTGAGACTCTTTTCTTTCTTTCTTTTTTTTTTGGTCGGTCATGGGACTTGAACTCTGGGCCTGGGAGCTGTCCCTCAGCTCTTCAGCTCAGGCTAGCACTCTACCACTTGAGCCATAGCATCACTTCCAGCTTTTTCTGCTTATGTGGTACTGAGGAATCGAACCCAGGGCCTCGAGCATGTGAGGCAAGCACTCTACCACTGAGCTACCTTCCCAGCCCCAAATCTGTGAGACTCTTATCTCCAGTAAACTACCAGAAAACCAGAAATGGCACTGTGTCTCAAATGGTAGAGTTCTCACCTTGAGCTGAAGAGCTGAGGGACAGCGCTCAAGCCCAGAGTTCAAGCCCCACAACCGATTAAAATATATATATATATATATTTGTTTTTATGAATTTTTAAACCAGGAATATTTGAAATTTGAGGCTGTATTGTGTTGAAGAGAAATACAGGAAGGGAAAATGTGGATAAAAATAATTATTGAAAAAGATTTGAATTTTGTTTTTACCTTACAGTCTCAGAAATGATGTGAGGAGAAAGGAAGGTGTAGTAAATGTTTGCCAGTATACTGGAATATTTAGTGTGTTAAGTACAAAATGTGACTGGTATAAATTTCAGGAAGATTTTCAAAGAGTTGTGAAAATAGAAAAACGTGTTGATGAGCTGCTTACCAAAAAATACAAGGTAGGACCCTGACCCAATGATGGTGTCTCATATAGAACATTACTTCAAAATACCATAGAGTCTTAGAGGAGGTGATGTTAAGACAACAAAACAAGCCAAACCCTAAAGCCCTCATTTTAAATATAGTAGATAATAGGTAAATTTTATATCATGAGAAGTAGTATAAGCCAAAGATAAAAATATGTTAATACCTAGTAAATACATACTTTTTTCTCTCTTTTGTAATCTTTCCTTCTTACCCAGGTCAGCCATAGTCCTGAACCTCTGAAGACAGTAGAACAGGAGGTGAGAATGATGTTTCAAAACATTTTACAGATAGTTAACAAAAGAGATTAACTATTGGTTATTTCCTCAAACTGCCATTCTCCCAATATCATATGATCAGTTTCAGAGATTATTGATGTTATTCTCTGAAGTATAAAAGAAAAATAAGTTACAATGGTTGCCATTAATTTACTATAAATTGTACATTATTCTTCCAAGAATAAGCATTTGAAATAAAGGAGGGAAGAATAAATACATACTGAGGAAATTAATTGATCAAACTCTAGGTAAGGGAACTGGTATGCAGAATTGAGATTTAAGTGGTGGAGCACCTGCCTACCAAGAATGAGTTCCTGAGTTCAAAGTACACAAGGTGTGTTTTGCACCAATACCTTCCTTAGGGCGAATGTACACAGGGAAACTCTCATTCTATTCCATTATATTTATGTACCATTTTGTTTGCCTGTTCATCTGTTGATGAATATTTAAATTGTGTCTATTTCATGACTATTGTGAACAATGCTGAGACCCTATTTTCACTTCTTTTAGATGTATGCTCAGAGGTGGAATTGTGATAGGATAGTTCTGTTCTTTATTTAGTAATTTATTTGTTTGTTTGTTTAGTTAGTTAGTTAGTTTGGAGGAGCCTCCATACTATTTTTCAGAGCAATAGCATCATTTTACAATCCTACTAACAACAATGGGCAAGGCTTCAGATTTCCTAACATCCTAATTGACATGGTTACTGGGATTTTGTTTTTTATAGTTGGCCATCCTAATAGGGGTGAGAAGCTATCTCATTGCGGTTTTTATTTCTCTAATAATTAATGGTGGGTTAAGAATACTTTTCAGGAAGTGGTGCTATGTGGCTCAAAGTGGTAGAGTTCTAGTCCCGAGCAAAAGAACTCAGGCACTGTCCCTGAGCTCAAACCCCATGACATTGACACATATGCTCATTGACCATTAGTACATTATCTTTTTTTGGGGGGGGGGTCGGTAGTGGGGCTTGAACTCTGGGCCTGGGCAATGTCCCTCAGCTCTTCAGCTCAAGAGGAGTGCTTCACCACTTGAGCCACAGTGCCACTTCCAGTTTTCTAGTGGTTTATTGGAGATAAGAGTCTCACAGACTTTCCTGCCTGGGCTGGCTTTGAACTGTGATCCTCAGATCTCAGCC